ACCAGAAGAAGAGCCTGCAGACCAAAGGAAACCAGAAGAAGAGCCTGCAGACCAAAAGATACCAGAAGAAGAGCCTGCAGACCACAAGAAACCAGAAGAAGAGCCTGCAGACCAAAGGAAAGCAGAACAGGAACTTGCAGACCAAAGGAAATCAGAAGAAGAGCCTGCAGACCACAAGAAACCAGAAGAAGAACTTGTAGACCAAAGGAAATCAGTAGAAGGACCTTTAGACCAACAGAAAACAAAAGAAGAGCCTGCAGACCTACAGAAACCAGAAGAGCCTTCAGACCTACAGAAAACTGAAGAGCCTTCAGACCTACAGAAAACTGAAGAACCTGCAGACCTACAGAAACCAGAAGAACCTGCAGACCAAAAGAAACCAGAGGAGTCTGCAGACCAAAGGAAAGCAGAAGAAGAGCCTTCAGACCTACAGAAACCAGAGGAACCTGCAGACCAAAAGAAAGTTGTGGATGTTGAGGTACTGGAAGATTTCAAACTGAGAGACAATGTTGAAGTCGGCCATCAACAGACAATAAGTGAGGTCCAGGTACTTGAAGACGAATCCACAGCAGATATGGGGGAGGGAACGCAAGAACACCCACTGAAGTTTCTCAAAGAATTAGTGACCAACTGGGGAGACAACCTCAAACAACAGCTAAGACCAGGGCCAGTGGAAGACAGGGACATGGACAGAACAGAGGCTGAACTGGACGATGGGGAAGTGGAGATGGCTGAAGATCCTGTGACCGTTTTAGATGATGAGATGGAGGAGACAGAGGAGATCAAAGACCTCGGAAAGCTTGAAGAACAGATCTCTGTCACCATTCCGAGTTCCCCAAGTGATGAGCTGGGGGTGGAGACAACTCAAAAGGTACTAGAAGAAAAGGTTTGTATCGGAAACGAAGAGATGGATGAGGGTGAGAAACAAAATGTGGGAATGGAGGAGGAACAACAAAGGAAAGGAGATGAAGATAAGAATGTGACGCCAAATGAGACAGAGATTGAAAACGATCAAACAGCAGAGAGCACAGATCCTGAGCTAGACACCAATGGCAAAGTCAAAGGACTGAAACAAGCCATGGAGAACGGCGTTTTCTGTCTGCAGCCTCAGCCACTCAGGAAAGAGCCACGGTCAAAGGCTAAAGTGCTGTCCTCCAGGAGGAAGGACAGTGACTGGATTAAGAAAGACAAACCAGAGGAAGGATTGAGAGAAGACTGGAGGAAAGAGCCCAGGTCTTTGACAAAAGAGGCACTACCAAAAGAGAAGGTCCCTCCGGCAGCAGAGGACTGGATAAAGGAGCTGAAGTCCGTGATCAGAGACGAGTCCCTGCCCAGAAAGAAGGACCCGCAGGTGAAGAAGAAGCGAGTGGTGCTGCTGGAGGACGGGCACTCCTACATCCCCCAGCGGGAGGAGAGGCTCCCAGAAGACAAGGAGGAGGTCAGGCTCCTCTCCCACAGGAGGGTGGACAGCCCCGTGTCCCCCGAGAACCAGAGCAGCACGGAGGCCCCAGACCAGCAGATCTCCCTCTATGTGAAGGTAAAGAGACGTGCATCCATCATCCACATGTAATGTCCAGAATACAGCTCAGGCTAGGATCAGACCAGGTTCTGACCAGGTTCAGACCAGGTTCTGACCAGGCTAAAACCAGGCTCAGACCAGCAGATCTCCCTCTATGTGAAGGTAAAGAAGCGTCCATCCATCATCCACATGTAATGTCCAGAATACAGCTCAGGCCAGGATCAGACCAGGTTCTGACCAGGTTCAGACCAGGTTCTGACCAGGCTAAAACCAGGCTCAGACCAGCAGATCTCCCTCTATGTGAAGGTAAAGAAGCGTCCATCCATCATCAGAATACAGCTCTGAACCAGGCTCAGACCAGGCTCTGAACCAGCTTCTAAACCAGGTTCTGACCAGGTTCAGACCAGGCTCAGACCAGGCTCTGAACCAGGCTCTGAACCAGGCTCAGACCAGGCTCAGACCAGGCTCTAAACCAGGTTCAGACC